TACTTATTGGGAACTCCTCCCTGGTGATCCTAATGTCCAGTCAAGGCTGAGAACCACGTGCTAGAGGCGTGAACTCAGGCAAGCAAGGTTAAGGGAGAGTGCCGAAGATGGTCCTGAGCATAGGCTGACGATGCAGAGGTCTTGCTTCTCCGACATGATTCTGCAAGCACTCCAGAAGACGAGGGTAAAAACTTCCTTGAGATGAAGAAAAGACCCAGAACAGCGATGATGACTGACAGGCTGTTTTTTTTTTTTTTTTTAACGTTTATTTTATTTTTGAGACAGAGAGAGACAGAGCATGAACGGGGGAGGGCCAGAGAGAGAGGGAGACCCAGAATCTGAAACAGGCTCCAGGCTCTGAGCTGTCAGCACAGAGCCCGACGCGGGGCTCGAACTCAAGGACCGCGAGATCATGACCTGAGCGGAAGTCAGAAGCTTAACCGACTGAGCCACCCAGGCGCCCCGACAGGCTGTTCTTTGAATGGATCCTGTCTTGAAACCAGTGCAGAGAGTAGCTTGGCAGGACCTTCGCTGTTGGGTGCTGCCTCCGGGGCAAAAGCAGTGTCTGGAAGTGGGAAGGAGAAGCCTATACAAATGTGAGTGTGTGTTCACTTAATGGAATTAGTTTTTATTTCTCATTTGAAAGAATAATTGTTTCATGACTTTGTGAATTTTCTTTCTGCCTATGCATTCATCCTTTCATACATGTCTCCCATTAAGATATGAAACACGAATAGAAGATACTTAAACTACCATGGAAGCTTTGAACTATTTTTTTTTTTAATGTTCATTTATTTTTTTTGAGAGAGAGCCTGCATGTGTGAGCGGGGGTGGGGGGGAGGAGCAGAGAGAGAGCGAGAATCTCAAGCAGGCTCGGTGCTGTCAGCTGAATCAGATACGGCTACAGGGCTCGATCTTACAAACCGTGAAATGGAGACCTGAGCCAAAATCAAGAGTTGGGTACTTAACTGGCTGAGCCACCCAGGCGCCCTGAACTGTGTTTTTAATTTACTGACCCATTTTCAGCACATGTTCCTGGGGTCTGTGTTGGGGGCGGGATAATGGTGAGCAAGATGTGGTCCTAGACGTGATGAACTAGGTTGTTAGTGACTAAGTTTGGGAAGTAGGCTAGCTGTGAATAAATAACTGTAGTTGTATTAGAGTTCTCCAGAGAAATGGAACCAGTAGGGTGGGAGGATAATAGGTAGGTAGATATAAGAAGAGATTTATTATGGGAATTGGCTCCTTCTGTTAGGAGGCAGAGAAAGTCCCATGATCTGCCCTCTGCAAGCTGAAGAACCAGGAATGTCAGTAGTGTCATTCAGGCCCAAGGCCTGAGCGGCAGCAGGCGGGAGGTGGGGCGTGGTTGGTGTAAGTCCAGAGGTCTGAGAGCTACACGAAGACGTGGAGAGAAAAACATTTGCGGGAAGTGACCTGGAGAGAGGTGGGAACATGAATTGTTTGGCTACGCTGGATGAAGCTCTGAGCAGTGATGATTCTGCCACGTCACCGGGTGAAGCTGATGCAAAGTGGAATCATCTGTGGTTCCAGGAAATGACTTAATGCAACAGTTTCTCTGGTTTTCGTTTTCATTTTTTTAACATTTATTCATCCTTGAGAGACAGAGCGAGGCAGAGCATGAGCAGGGGAGGGGGGGAGAGAGACACACACACGGAATCCGAAGGAGGCTCCAGGCTCTGAGCTGTTTGTTGGCACAGAGCCCAACGCGGGGCTCAAACCCACAAACTGCGAGACCATGACCTGAGCCGAAGTCGGAAGCTCAACTGACTGAGCCCCTCAGGTGCTGGTTTTCATTTTAAACTTGACGGAAGTTCACAGTTCACAGACGAACTTTTTGGCCATTTTTATCGAGCAACTTACAGGATATTTTGTGCAGCTCTGAATTACTGCATATTTATTTAACTTTGGGGTAGCAGCTCCAGAACGGTAAATTTGTTTCTAACTATTGGCTGTATTCAGTTGTGCAATCATGATGAAAACAGCGATCAGGTGTTATTTCTGACCTCCTTTCTCTCCTGTCCTTAATTTTCCTCTTGCTCAGGTGCCTTAGTCAACCACGTGGCAGTTTCACAAAGGCTTTGGTGTTTTCAGGGAAGATAGTTTATTTAGATGTCTATTGTAGTAATTAGGAACTTCACCTTCAGGTAGACAGAACCTACCATTTATCTATTTTTGACTTTGGCAAAAATAATGGGTAGTTCTTGTGAAAAATTTAAACTGGAAGTTGCATCACAGTGAGTTAAAATTTTGTGTTTGTCACTGTCTTTTTCACTTTTTTTCAATTAGGTTGGCATCATGTAGCCGTGCTAACTCTGTTAGACCTTACCCACCCAACACTCACAATGGTCTTTCTCCCTCTTTCTCTCTCCTTTTCTTTCTTTTTCCCTTTCTTTATTACTTTTAACATGGGGATCTTCTGTTTCTCCCTGGACCGTCTTTTATCAAGGTTTGGGCTGCAGCAGACCCCCTTTTCATTCCAGGTACACATTGCTTATCAATAGCATTATTTTTTCAGACCTATACTTAATCATTTTCAAGTCCAGTGCTCCGGGGAGCCGCTACCAAGATGTGGAAGTCTGGTAGAAAACTCTGTAAGAAGCCTGGCCAGAAAACCCTTATCCACATTCTATTGGAACAATATTCCAGACCATGAGAGTCAACTGGGGTAGTCTGGGCCTCACCTGGCCTTACTGAATCAGAACCTTCAGGGGAGCAGCTAGGAAACTTGGTTCAGTTCAGCTGTGTTGAAGGGTTTTACTGTTTGTCCTGAACAGCGTTTTGGAGAACAAATGTATACACAAACATCTTCCGATTCTCATTGAGACAAAATTTCCTCCTACTCAGGACATTGCTGCAAATAATTTCACTTTCAAAATACTAGCCTTATCTATGTACTTAGTATGAGTTTTCCCGGGAAGCTTTATGTCAAGGTTATAGGAGATGGAGTGCCTGATGATTTTGAGAATGGTCGCTATAAATATATGATAAAGTGGTACAAGTGACTAGTGTTAAGAGTTAAGTAAACCCAAGTTCCCCATCCTTATCCAGTTAAGCTGATGAAAATGTAATCACCTGCCTTTGGAATTCAGTTCAGGTGCAATGGAACTCTCACATGGCAATTGAAGAGGGTAGACCTAAGGTCAGTGAAAGGATTCCTAAGATACTACATCTTACTCTACCCCAAAATCACTTACTTTAAAGCATGTTAATAGGATTCTAGCTATAAAGCAAAGAAGTCACTCTAGCAAAAGAAAAAAAAATTATCATTGGGAAGATCCCTTTCTTTTGTACAGTTTAGAAGTGCTATATTGCCCATGAAATATTTGTTTGGTTTTCTGGCTATTCATGCATTTGCCGAAGTACCTTTTTAAATAACTTTTTTTTTTTTCTTTTTAGTTATTTTTGAGAGAGAGAGAGAGACAGAGCATGAACAGGGGAGGGGCAGAGAGAGGGAGACACAGAATCTGAAGCAGGCTCCAGGCTCTGAGCTGTCAGCACAGAGCCCAACACTGGGCTCAAACTTACAAACCGTGAGATCATGACCTGAGCTGAAGTCAAGAGTCAGACGTTTAACCGACTCAGCCAACCAGATGCCCCTAAATAACTTTTTTTTTTTTGTTTACTTATTTTTGAGAGACAGCATGCTTGTGAGTGCAAGCATGAGTGGGGGAGGGGCAGAGAGAGTGGGAGACAGGATCCGAAGCAGGCTTGTGCTGACAGCAGAGAGCCTGGTAAGGGGCTCAAACTCTAAAACCCTGAGATCATGACCTGAGCGGAAATCAAGAGTCCAGTTGGACGCTTAATGGACTGAGCCACCCGGGAGCCCCGCCAAAGTACCTTTTCATTTGTTTTATTCACTACTGAAAAAAAATCAAGTTTTCCAGTCTTTTTTTTTTTTTTTTAAATAGTCACAATAAACTAAATGTAAACTGTAGGGCAGTTTGTCTTCAATGCTAGGCATTATTAATGTGCTGCTAATTAGACACAGCCACTTTCCATGTGCTCAGTCATCACCTCCCAGCTTCAATGCTGGAACGTGACTTAAATTCTGAGGACCATATTCTTTTATTCCTAAAGTCTCAATGCAAGAAATGTCTTTAACGGTGCTCTGATAGGGGCGCACAGGTGGCTTAGTTAAGCGTCCGACTCTTGGTTTCAACTCAGGTCATGATCTCACGGTTCATGGATTCGAGCCCCACATCCAGCTTTGTGCTGAGGGTGTGAAGCTTGCTTGGGATTTCCTGTGTCCCTCTCTCTGCCCCTCCCCTGCTCATTCTCTCTCTCTCTCTCTCTCTCTCTCAAAATAAGTAAACATTTAAAAAAATAAAGTGTTCTGATAGCTTGTTCTTTAAAGTGTCTGAGGGTTGATGGAGGGAGGTGGGTGGGGCTGGGCTATATGGGTGATGGGGATTAAGGAGGGCCCTTGTGATGAGCACCTGGTGTTGAATCACTAAGTTCTACACTTGAAAGCAATTTTACCATATGTTAACTAGAATTCAAATAAAAACTTGAAATCAAAAATTTTAATATAAAAAAATGTGCTCTGGTAATGTTGCCTGTAATGCTAGCCAAATGGTCAAAACAAAGGCACGTTCTTTACCACAAATGACACCCTGTAATTGTATCTGCACAGCCTGTGTGGGTTTCAACTGGTCTCCCTGCCACCCTGTACCCCCTGTCGTGTTGGTTACCCGTCTCCTATATTGAGCCCATTGTTTCATGATGTTACCAGCTGGAGATGTTGTGTTCTACAAACACAAACCACCTGGTGAGAGGAAAGTTATGTTGGCACAGAGTAACTCACTGTCCCCCCCCCCCCCCCCATACTGTGCACTGAGTATAAGGTGATAGAGGAACAGGAGTCAAGGACGTTTTATATGTGGTGAAGGAGAAAACTTGGGGATAAGCATGTTTATTTTCTCTGTTGTCCTATGGTTTTCAGGATAACTGATGGTATTTTTCCCCCCCAAATACTGTAGGTAGCCCTACTGGAGAACCTTGTGGAAAGACTTGTCTGGAAGAAAGAGACAATCAGTGGTTGGGGGTCACACTTTCCAGACAGCCAGGAGAAAATGGCTCCATCGTGGTACGCTATTGGGATTAGTCCACTCAGAAAATCAGGGGATCAGATATTCTGGGTGTGATGTTCACATCATTTGATCTATGTTTGTGTTTTATTCAGGCTTGTGGGCATAGATGGAAAAATATATTTTATATAAAGAATGAAAATAAGCTCCCTACGGGTGTTTGCTATGGAATGCCCCCTGATTTACGAACAGAACTGAGCAAAAGAATAGCTCCGTGTTATCAAGGTAAGGAATCATTTTGGTACTACCTGGATCAAGAAAAACAAGTGAATGCCTTTAATATTTTTTTAATTTTCAATTTTGCATATGCAGAGAGAGGAGAAGAAATCTTATTAAAATAGCTGTATTTTTAACTACTCAAGGTATTTTTTATTCAATTGCGGTAGTGTGAGTGCAAAAAATGTGCTGTGTGCTTTTAGGAATAGAAATTTGTACGGTTACATTTGAGTAATTCTAGAATTTAGTTGATAATTACCCACTTTTGCACTAAACATATTTTGAACTCCACATGAATGAGTCTAATGTCCAGAATATAGAGGACACTTAAAATCATGAAATTATGATGAAAAACTTGAGATTGAGAAGTCTGGGAAGATGAAAACTGTTTAGATTTCTTGTTTTATCTTTAGCCTTCAAGAATATTTAGAAAGATTCAAGTGTAAGTGTAAGCAAATCTTTCCCACTCACTGTGTCTTTATTTTTTTAATTCACCAATCCCTTGTTGTTTCAAGGAATATATGTATCTTAACTTTGAAAATTTTTCCCATGAAAATTCTAGATTGTTAGGTAGCAGTAGTGTAAGCAGAGTTGGGACATTAACACCTGAAGTGAGCAAAATTAGGGGTGAATGTCAACAGAACATTAAAACCTATCTTAACAGAACTAAAATTCTAAAAATGTATCCTTGGAAAACTCAGAATTAAATATATATGCATTCCATTTTCCACTTTTTTTTTTTTTTAATTTTTTTTCAACGTTTATTTATTTTTGGGACAGAGAGACAGAGCATGAATGGGGGAGGGGCAGAGAGAGAGGGAGACACAGAATCGGAAACAGGCTCCAGACTCTGAGCCATCAGCCCAGAGCCTGACACGGGGCTCGAACTCACGGACCGCGAGATCGTGACCTGGCTGAAGTCGGACGCTTAACCAACTGCGCCACCCAGGCGCCCCCATTTTCCACTTTTTCTAACCAAAATGATCACTACAGTGTCCAGATAACCTTTCCCTTACCTGACAAAATTTTGACCATGCATGCAAATTCAGTTATTCTGTTAACTTTGGGGTCTTCTGTGGTATGGGATGTCTTGGAAACAACTCCTAATCTCTAATTGGCCTTTGGACATCCAAGAAGACAAAAGGTGAATTTTAAATTCTTAATGAAGTGAAACTCAGTCTAGTGTTCTGTATGTTTATCCTTCTCTTTTTCTCCGGGGTGTATGGTTGACACTTTAAAACCTTCTCAGAGTAGAATTTTGTGCTGTTGTTCAGTTATACCCAGCCACATCCTGCAAAACATTAAACTTACCTTGAACTTAAAACACCTAAAACTATGAGGAAATTTATTTTTAAAAAGGGTGGGGGGTATAAAAAGGAGTGAAAAATCATGCCAAGGACTATTAATTACAAATGACTTAATTGATTTAACTCTTCCAGTTAGCAAAGCCAAAACAAGGATGTGGGCCTGATTCTTCTATCGAGGTTTACTTACATCCGTTCCCTGGGAGAAGCAGAGCATTGTCTTCCCAGTAGGTTCCAGAAGCATCCAATTCATGGGTAGTGGGAGACCTGAGCTGAAGTTGGCTGTTCAACTAACTGAGTCACCCCAGGCACCCCAGGAAATCTATTTTAATGCAGACCTGGACTGGAAGACACAAATTCTACCCCTGTCTTAGATACTCACTTGACAATTTTTTTGAGTGTATGCTGCATGTTCTTTCCATGAGAAAGAGGCAGAGGTAGCTGTTTTTATTGCTATTTTGCAGGAATATTTTGGGGGATTAATATGGAAGAGATTTTTTATCTTAAATTTTATTAAAACTACTATCTTAAAAATGGGTTAGTATAAAATATAGACTCTAAAAGGTATGTTAGTAAGGATTTATAAGATAAACAAAATTATGCAAATTTTGTCTTTTTCAATGAAATCCTGAATTGTTTTTTGTTTTTTGTTTTTTTACTTCATTTTAGATTATGTGAGAAAATTTGGAGAAAATTTTGCATCATGTCAAGCTGGAATATCTAGTTTTTACACTGAGGTAACAGCTCCTAAAATACAGAATTTTAATTCCTAAGATTCAGACTTCTGGTTTACAGGTGTTACGCTTTATGGTAAAAATTGTATAACACCTAAATAATAGTTTTCTTAAATTTGAGTATATTACAGCTTAATTTTCAACACTCAATATTCAATGTATTTTGAAAACCGGTTAATACTTAAGATGGCTGTGTCACGCAAGACCAACTAAAAGTCTACACTAAAGAATATGCCTTGCATCAAAAATTTAATAAAAATAAAAGGAAGCTATTGTTATTTGCTTTAACTTATACATTTAAAATATTCAAATATGTTTTTAATTACTAGTTGAGGGGAAAAAACATATGAATCCACATCTTTCATTAAAATTATGAGAATTGAGAGATTGAAGAATTTAACATCCTTTTAAATTAGACGTATTCCGAAACTCTGTTTTTCTCTAACACTCCAGGCAGGATATACAATCAAAGATCACAGTTGTATTCAACTTCCAAATCTCCCATTTTACCTTCAAAACCCATTAGGAATTTCTGAATGTTTTCTGGATCTATGCAGTCAGACTATCAAGCGTTGAGTTAACAATTTCCATAAATATTACCTAAAAAAAACCACTTTATACTTAAATTGACCTTTTTATAAGGTCAGGATCATTTAGGAAATTTAGAAATATGTTAAATGGGTTTGATCGCTATAAGTTCTCATATTTCACCAAATATATCTGTTCATTCTGACTTTACTTTTGTTTCCTTTTCCTAAATTTGTATTTATCGTCAAATATGCCCCCAAGTTCCATTGGATTTGTTTTTTTTTCTAAGCTAACGTTGTTAAGGAAACTAGTCATTGACTCTTAGCAAATAGGAATAAATTAAATCCACTTTTTACTCTTTAGCAACACGTGACTATCTCCATAATAAGCACTAATGAATTATCCAGATGCGATTCACTTGATTAGAAACCACATTACCTGTCTCCCAAAAGCTTTCTCTAGTATTCCATGATTCTTTCTTCAATTTTAAGGTTCACTGATGAGTGTGAAGGGAGAGTTTCTTCTATGAGATTGTGCTTGTAGGTGAAAATTCATTAGCTAGCTTCTCTGGCTTTTTTTCTGATATGTTTTTAAATTCATAAAATGCTCAGATTTTAGAAATGTATTATCAAAATGTATTCTTGTCACTACTTAAAATGTATATTTGGAGGAGGTTTTGAGTGGATTAAACTTTGAAATGATGATAAATTGTTTTTTTTCTTACAGGATTTAATTGTGATGGGAGCCCCAGGATCATCCTATTGGACTGGCTCTCTTTTTGTCTACAATATAACTACAAATAAGTACAAGGCTTTTTTAGACAAAGATAATGAAGTAAAATTTGGAAGTTATTTAGGTACTGTAAAAATGGACAAACTCCAGTCCTTTAGGTCTTATAGATACTATTTCTCGTACTTATGATTACTAGTCTCTTCAAAAGATCAAAATGGCCAATAGCAATTAAAGAGTTTATAAACTGTCACTTTAAGGATATAATCGATGAAACTTTAACTTAATGATTGTAATTATATATGTTAAATATTAATATTTACTTGTTAGACTAGAGAACTGGTTTAGTTTAGTCTTACAAGCTTGTATCTTGATGCAGTAAACATGTTATCGTAAAGGTTGCATCTATTGAGTGCTTACCGTATCCAAGGAACTTTTGTTTTTAAGTTTATTTATTTGAGAGAGAGAGAGAGAAAGAGAGAAAGAGAGAGAGAGAATGAACATGTGGGGGAGGGACAGCGAGAGAGAAGAAGAGCGAGAATCCCAAGCAGGTTCCATGGGCTCTGTGCTGACAGCAATGTGGAGCTCAAACTCACAAACCATGAGATCATGACCTGAGCCAAAATCAAGAGTCAGAAACTCAACCAACTGAGCTACCCAGGCGCCCACCAAGGAACTTTTATAGGCATTGGACACGAATTCATTGAATCATGTATGAGTAAGTGTAGTTTCTTAAAGGACCAGCTGAAAGTCAGTGGGACTATCGACAGCATTCTACACAATGAGTAACATTATGAAGCATACGGATCTAAAAACAGCTCATTGACCTTAGCCTCATATGTTCTTAGAAAATATTTCCCAGAGTTTATTCTTGTCTTTCTCCTTCCTCTCCTCTTCCTCCCCCTCCATTGCCTCCTCATGCTGTGTAGTAGGACACTTTATAGTCTGTATTTCTACAGAAACCCAAGATTTCTCAGCATTGATTCCTGTTACTGTAAAAAGGGATGCTTTTCCCATAGCTTTTTAGAAAATACAGATTTGTTAATCATATGTGCTTCAAATGTAAGCAACCTATACTCAGAAATAATTACAATAAGAAAAAGCGGTGTTATTTTTCCCATTCATACAGTAAGAATTCTTTTTCAAACAGAGGGAATTTGCTTACAATTCAACATTTACTTGTTTGTGGTTGAAGTATATCTTGAAGTATTATAAGAAATATAACTTAGCATTATGCCTTTTGTCTTATAACAAAATATCTTACCATTTGTGTCCTCATATGGTTTTATCACTGTAGGAAGATTCCATGGTGAAAGAGTTGAAGTTCAGGGAGTTTTTGCTTAAAGTTTAACATGTTAAATTTTAGATCTCTAAGATATTTCACTTGTAATGCTAGAAGCTAGCATATTCTGGTACTACATAGAGACCAACAGACCAGATGTAAAAGTGCTGTCTTTAATTTCTAGGACTTGGAAATGAAAGCCATGTGCCTAGCTTCATAACACAGACTAATAATTGCTTAAAGCATATGATAAATGAGCAGTTTTGAATATTGCTATGCTAAATATTCTTAAAACCGTTTAGTGTAGTCTTTGGAATTCAGTCTCATTTGATTCTGTGAATGGATTTATGATGATATATTTTACCCATTGCAAATAATGATTCCCATGGTTGTTGTCCACTTTCTTTGAAGGCTACTCAGTTGGAGCTGGTCATTTTCGGAGTCCGCATACTACCGAAGTAGTTGGAGGAGCCCCTCAACATGAACAGATTGGTAAAGTAAGAATTACATTTTTACATTAATTCTTGACAAAACTTCAAGGAAACTGCATGAGAGAATGAGATACTAAAGGAGAAACTGCAACAATTCTAAGGAATGAAAACTAAAAGTGATGAGCTGTGCACTGCCTTTTATGGTGAAAGTTGTATGGCTTTTAGATTAAATTTAACAGAAAAGCTTAAAGGAAAATTCTGAAAGTCAAATTGAGGCTTTTCTTTCTTTAAAAAATTTTTTTTTAACATTTTTTCATTTTTGAGAGAGACATAGTGTGAGCGGGGGAGGGGAAGAGAGAAGGAGACACAGAATCCAAAGTAGGCTCCAGACTCTGTGTTGTCAGCACAGTGCCCGATGCAGCCTGATGCGGGGCTCAAACTCATGAACAATGAGATCATGATTTGAGCCAAAGTCGACGCTTAACCGACTGAGCCACCTGGGCGCCCCAGAGGCTTTTCTTTCTTGTGAGTAAATTGTTTTTGGGGAAAAAAAAAAGATCTGAAGATGTCTAGGGAATATATTTACTGGTTACCACGTTTCTAGGTGAAGGGATATTGAGCGAGCTGTATGTTTTGTGTAAGACCAGAAAGAATCAGATGTTCTTTCTGGTTCTGGGTTTTTGTTCCATTTTAGTGTGGACATCACTAAACTTTTCTGAGCCTTACTTTGGAAAGTGAGGCAAGCAGCACTTTGTGCTCTAAGGGATCAAGACCGTAGTCCCTGAGAAGATAGTTCAAGGAAGGCATATTAATGTGAATGTGGTTCCCTAAAGCTTTTGAATTACACCCAAAAGGATTTTTTTTTTAACTCTTTGGGCAGTTACAAGTTGTGAACGTTGATGTTTTGATCACCTGAGGATTTTTTTTTTTTAACGTGATAGCAGTCTCAGTTTTTCTAACTCTGTTCCTAATTGCAGGCATACATATTCAGCATTGAGGCCAGAGAACTAAACATCTTACATGAAATGAAAGGTAAAAAGGTAATGTCTCCACCTTTGGTATCACCAAGGGCTTTCGTGAATCACCCTGCTGCTTTTCTCAGTGACGGGATCTGGTTTGTTTTGGGCAGCTTGGCTCCTATTTTGGAGCTTCTGTCTGTGCCGTGGACCTCAACGCAGACGGCTTCTCAGACCTCCTCGTGGGAGCTCCCATGCAGAGCATCATCAGGGAGGAAGGCAGAGTGTTTGTGTATATCAACTCTGGCTCAGTAAGTCCAATCACTCACCAGCTACAGGCCGTCTATGATATTATGATACAAACTGAAGTTAGTTCAGGCTTCTGAGGCTATAGATTCTTAGGCTTATTTTACCGATGAAAGTAGAAACTCTGCTATTGTACTAATGCTCTAAAAATGAAATGGAACATTCTGGTGGATGGGAAGCTGTCCCATTTTGACATTCCAGAAGTAGGAAATTAGTTGTTCTGGTGTTTTTCTACTGACATCTTGAACTTCAAGTAAAGTTTCTTTTAGTTTTCTTAAATGCAAATCTCATTTGAAAGAATGATTTTTATCTTTCCCTCAAAATGTAGATTTATTATTGGTTCTGTAGTGAATGTCTTTGCTTACAAATATTATCAGAAGTAGAAGATAAAGTAGAAAATGTTTTTAATTTATTTATTTGAAAAGAATAGGAAACAAGATGTGTTTGGATAAAATGTTAATTTACACAATTTATGTAGATGATATTCTTGATATAAGAATATAAGGGAGGCACCCGGGTGGCTCAGTCGGTTAAGTGTCTGGCTTTGGCTGAGGTCATGATCTCGCTGTTGGTGGGTTCAAGCCCCATGTTGGGCTCTGTGCTGACAGCTCAGAGCCTGGAGTCTGCTTCAGATTCTGTGTCTCCCTCTCTCTCTGCCCCTTCCCTGCTCACACTCTGTGTCTGTCTGTCTGTCTCAGAAATATTTAAAAAAAAATTGAAGAATATAAAGGGCACCTGGGTGGTTCAGTCAGTTAAACATCCAACTTGGGCTCAGGTCATGATCTCACAGTTGGTGGGTTTGAGCCTTACATTGGGCTCTGTGCTGACAGCTCAGATCCCAGAACCTGCTTTGGATTCTGTGTCTCCCCCTCTCTCTCTGCCCCTCCCCCGCTTATGCTCTGTCCTTCTTTCCCTGTCTCTCTCTTAAAAATAAACACACATTTTAAAAAATGGGCATAGTTCATTCCAAAGTAGGTACCGTAGGTGTACAAGTAATTACTGCTTCTGGTTGAGTTATAAATTACGGGAGATGTTGTGGAGTAGAAACTAACCACTTCACAATTCAATTTAAAGAGTTCTGTTGACCTTATCTTGCCAGTCTGTCTTCTTGGCATTAAATAAAAACAAAGAATTGATAGGGCCTTGATGGAGTCTTCTTGGTCTGTTACTTTGATTTAAGAGAAAGAACGGAATTGTGAGAAAAGTGACTAATTTCTTAAGGCACAGCAATTTTAGTTAGGATTCAACAAAGTAAAATCTGTTTCAAGAAAGTATTTGTAGTCTTAATCAATGGTTTTAGAGCATTTGATAAGGTCCTACATTAAGCACTGGCCTAAACACTTTATTATTTGAGAGTGAATAGTCTTATACAGTTAAAAGATTTTCAAAGTTCCGAATACAGAGCAGCAAAGTTGTTAATTGGGATTCCCTAGACTGTGTTTCCACTTAAATTTAATAGTCAAAGCATATCATCGACAAAGTGATCATGCATATCTCCTTAACAGTGATATCAAGCATTAGGTTTTTTTGCACAGCTATTTCACATTCCCCTACTCCTAAATGGTCATCTTATACCAGCTACATCCTCATCATGCATACTTCTCTTTAGAAACTAAACTTTTTGAAAACAGCTTAAAAAGTAATCCTATACACCTAAGATAAGGCAGTGTGTGATCTTTTTTTCCTCATTGACGTCTTAAGCAATCCTAATGGGAAAAACAAATAAAAGTGTGTTCCTTTGATTTAAAGGGCAAGGAAGGAGCTGTACCCGTTAGGCTACCCTCTTGTTCTTCTCTCATTCCTACCTGGAGGCACCACTATTGAACATGGGGTAATTTCATAACTGATTGCGGTTTTTAACCCTTCTGACCTAGGTTATTCTTTCTTTGTTCCCTTCTTACTTCCTATTTGTTACCTCTCTAAAATGGCACTAACCACTGCCTGGCAATATATTAGTTTGCCTTGGTACTGTCTGATCTCCTGGAAGTGTTTTTCTACTGCTGTGTTTTTAGGGTTTGAAAGAGGACTGAAGAAATAGGTGCTCAGTAATTGTTTCTGAATGAACTGAAGGAAGAATGATACTTGAGTGAATCTTGCTTCCACCTGCTTCTACGAAAAGAATTCTTAGAGGTCGCCAGAGGTCACCATTTTCTGACTGGAGAATACTTGAAGAGTGATCACTACTTCTTGAAACCCTCTTCGTGGAACTTCAGTGCCTTTCTATTGTTTTAGGTCTATACCTTCTCGTCCTCTCTGGAGCCCATTCTCCCTTCTCTTTAAATTAGGATTTCCCTTGGAGTCCAGCTTTTTCATCCCTTATTCCCTGATAAAATAATTTCTGTTTTCGATGCCAGTGATTTTTGTCTGCAGAGATGATTCATTAAAAAAAAAAAAAAAACACTGAGCAAATATCTGAAATGTAACAAAACCTATGGAAATAGCTGAGAATAATCTTAGTTCTGACCTCTAAGACCTCAAGTCTAGAAAAGACACAAACATGAGAGTAAAGAATTTAAGTTTAGGAGTTGTTTGGTTGGAAAATAAAAGTGGAAGGGTATTTTGTAATCAGAAGGAAAAGAACCTGTGTGATTAGGGGATGATGAAGAGACTTATTTAAGAAGAGGAAAGGATCTATGATGAGTGCATGGATTTTTTTTTTCTTAATACAAAGGAGTGACATAATCAGAGTTTAGAAAGAGGTCTGGCAGTTGTTACTGCAGTGGCTCAATATTGCAACATTATTGAATGTCTCCTTGTTTTTTTTTTTCTTTTATTTTTGAGAGACAGACCACAAGCAGAGGAGGGGCAGAGAGAGAGAGAGAGAGAGAGAGAGAGAGAGAGAGAGAAACACAGAATCTGAAGCAGGCTCCAGGCCCTGAGCTGTCATCACAGAGCCTGATGAGGGGCTCACACTCACGAACTGTGAGATCATGACCTGAGCTGACCTCAAGTCAGAGGCTTAGCCGACTGAGCCACCCAGGTGCCCCTGAATGTCTCCTTGTAATACCTCATCTTCCAACTTAAGAGATAGCAGTTGACCAACCCATGTTTCATTGCCGCTAGGATAAGGCTCAAGGCTAGCTTCCGTTGTGCCAACTCCTCAACTCAGAAGCCTTCAGTGGCTTCCTGTTCCCTGAATGGAAGTAAATTTCCCTCAGTATTCAAAATTCTACACCATAACACTTCGTTTTTTTTTTTTTTTTTTTTTTTTGTCTCCTTCGTTCTACATACCATTCATAACAGCCAAATTCTTTGGAAATTTGTTTTGCTGATTGTATTCTCTGCATATTAAAATTATGTCCATCCTTCAACAGCCACCTTGAATACCATCTCTTATGAGATCTCTCCTTGCTTTTACAGTTAGATATGCTGTTCTTGATAACACAAAGCAGTCTGTGCTTTTCCGTCATTTCCATGTTCATGCTAAGCCTTCCATGTAACTGGGCTTCTTCAAGAAGGGGAGACTGTCTCCTACATACACTGCTTGGTCCTCGTTGGCCTCTTTCCTCTTTGCACAGTGCATTGCCTTCAGTAGGAACTCAATAAATATTTGCTAAATTGAATTATCAAAATGATTTATTGGATTTTCAAAGCCAGGGATCATGAGTTCGACAATTTTTATGTCCTCTGAGCTCTAATCATACTATTATATGTGTTGACATACTTGATAAATATTTATTGAACGGAACGGAGATGTGTGTACTAAAGCTCAGTCTGTAGTTTGTCCAACTTGTTTGAAGCATTAGAAAAAATCCATATCCAATTACAACAGTAAATCATGTGTAAAGTTGTCAGAGAGGGTTATAATGACATCTTTTCTCCCCTTTTCTGTCTAGGGAGCAGTAATGAACGAAATGGAAACAGAGCTCCTTGGAAGTGACAAATATGCGGCAAGATTTGGGGAATCTATTGTTAATCTTGGAGACCTTGACAATGATGGCTTTGAAGGTAATGAAAAGTATCTAATTTGGTACTTCTGCTTTTAAAATGGAACATGGAAAATAATATGATTGGAGTTTTAAGTTGTTAGCCTTTCTATAGAAAATGGAGCCAAAATGTTACGCTAAGCTCATTTTCTTTTTGGTGTTATACCTGACTTCTCCTCACTGGTTAATTATTCTTAATTGATTGCAGACTCATTAGACCAGGCTATTTAACTCTATGTACAGTAAAGACACTGACAAGACCCAACAGAGGCTGGCTGCAGAGCTGGAGCAGGGTTCTAGAAGACCCCGTTGTGCCAGGCATCCCTTGTTCAGGTGCTACGTTGTGGGACAATTTGGTGAATGGCAGGAGAGCACGCTTAGCAGTAGTGAGGGGCAGCTGGCAGACCCAGTAATATTGGCTATTGACCAACTTATATGGAAGCCACTCCCTAATGCACTAGATAGTTCTGTCATAACTGTGCCTATTGCCTGGATATCAGCCCTGCTGTTGAAATACCTGTGTCTACCAGCCTTTCCTCTTAAAATTTACTTTTTTCAGTCTAATACGGAATGGTAACCAAGTCTGATAAAATTGTGCATAGGATGATGAATGGGTTTGAAAGGAGGGTGTGCAATTTGTAGAGTTCAGCAAATAAGTATTTGATATTTTCAGGGCTCAGAATTGTCTATCTTAATGTAATCATTAGCAATTGGCATATGGTAATAAGTTGAAACTGAGTTGGATACAGGAAATAGATGAGGGAGTACTATAAGTTCTCGCTTAATTTTTTTAATACCTCTTACGCCAAAAGGCTTCACTCTAATTGTTTAAAATGTGTTGGTCTTCGGGGTGCCTGGGTGGCTCAGTTGGTTGAGCGTCCGACTTTGGCTCAGGTCATGATCTTGCAGTCTGTGAGTTTGAGCCCTGCATTGGGCCCTGTGCTGACTGACAGCTCAGGGCCTGGAGCCTGCAGCCTGCTTCAGATTCTGTGTCTCCTTCCCTCTCTGACCCTCTCCCAGTCATGCTCTGTCTCTTTCTCTCTGTCAGTAATAAATAAACATTAAAAAAAATAAAATGTGTTGGTCTTCAAGACGAAAGTTAGTGGGATACTGACTATATATTTTGAATACTTTGAATATACATTGAATAGATATCACATATTGAATATATGGACTCTATTAAATGTAAGAGTATAATTTGGTATACAAATATTACCATTTCTAGAGTTTTACTATCTTATTAAAAATAAAGGAAATTAAGTATATATTTTTAAGGTTATGGTTACATGTAAGCTTTACATTAAAACTTCTATAAGGTTTTATTATGCTGTATTTCACAAGAGTCAGCAATTCTGATGTTTATTGAGCACTTACTTTGTGTCAGATGTACCATGCCAGGTGGAGAGTACATGCCATAATAAATGTAAACAAAAGAAATAGTGACACCCTTTTCTATAATTCTAAAATCAAATGGAATATAAAATTAAGACATTAAAAAAACCTTCGGTGGTTAAATTTAAGGAATTTACCTAATAAATATCTATGGATAAAGCCATGTTTATGCACCTTGACATTTCATAGATATTATGAGGTAATGCAGTTCTTTCCTTGAAAAAGAAAATCATTCAGTAAGATACCTACTTTGTTATGATTCCTTATACATCTTGTTTTAATTGACACATTTGAGGAAGACCATTTGCTGTTTTGAATGTACTAAAATAAAACATGGGTGAGTGCACATGAGAAGTGTTTTTTTTGTGTGTGTGTGGCATCAAAATGTCAATGACAAACCTGAATTCTTTTTTTTTTTTATTTTTTTTTTCAACGTTTATTTATTTTTGGGACAGAGAGAGTCAGAGCATGAATGGGGGAGGGGCAGAGAGAGAGGGAGACACAGAATCGGAAACAGGCTCCAGGTTCCGAGCCATCAGCCCAGAGCCTGACGCGGGGCTCGAACTCACGGACCGTGAGATCGTGACCTGGCTGAAGTCGGACGCTTAACTGACTGCGCCACCCAGGCGCCCCAAACCTGAATTCTTAAAATCAGATATAGTGGTAAAAAGGTCATGGACATTACTCCTGTAGCGAGGAGAATCCCAGGCAGTTTTCCAGTGGCGTGTGAAGGACAGAAAGTGTTCTGTCCATGAGACTTAGGAAGAAGAACTAGGGGGAGACCTTGGGGGTACGAGGCGGTCTTCCAGACTGCATGTGACAACCTAGGTTTCAGACAGCACTTTGTGTCCTAAAGTCTTCGGCTCTTGACTCCTAAAGGTAATGGCTTTATGTGTTCTATTCAAACACCTGTGATTATATGATTTAGGATTCTATTCAAATGATTATTTCTCATATTTCAGTATATTTTTGTGCTATTACAATTTCATTTATAATTTACCTCATATTTACATTTAGTGACTCTATTAATGCTGATTCACTTCAGTGCATGCTTATCTTTTTCTACTTTATCAGTTCTAATTTTTTTTTTTTAGTCTTATTGAGATGTGACTGAAATACATCGTGTAAGTTGAAGGTATACAACAGAATGACTTAATATATGGATGTAGTACAGAATGATTACCACCTTGCGTCTAGTTAACATCTATTCCCTCACAGTTAATTTTTTTTCCTTGTGATAACTTAAGATCTACTCTCTTAGCAACTTTGAAATAGATGATACAATATCGTTCACTCTAGTCATTACACTGTACCTTGCATCTCCAGAACTGTATCTTAGAACTAGAAGTTTGTACCTTGACCTTTTCACCCAGTTCCCCCTACCCCTCAACTCTGGCAACCACCAATCTGATCTGTTTCTGTGAGTCTGATTTTTTTTAGATTCCACATGTAAAAGTGAGATCCTACCGTGTTAGTGTTTCTCTGACTTATTTCGCTGAGTAAAATGCCCTGAGTTCATACATGTTACCACAAATGGCAGGATTTATTTCTTTTTTATGGCCAAGGTAGCCTTTTATTTTTGCCAATGAGTAAGCATTTTGCACGTTTTCGATCTTAACAAGACTGTGCTGATTTGCAAGTGGGCTCAGCGTGTTGTACTTCTTCACTGAGGTTTTTAATTCTTCTCTACCATATCTGCCTCGGTGAGAAAGCAAGGAACCTTGTCTTGTATTGATTTCCCTATTCTTTTACCGCATCTTCTATCTTATTTAATTATTCTGGAGTAGATGGGTGAAGTTACTTTTTGTTCATGGCAGTGTGTGGGATTGTGTAGAAAGGGGATGAAAATCTCACCTGTTCTTTTTCCTTCCACGTCCAGTCATAGATGCAAACAGACTTAAAGTCCTTACTATTCACACTTTCGTGGTGCTTTGTAGAGGAGACAAGTTATTTTTGCATTCATTATATCCTGTCCTTTTTCTTTTTTTAATTCAATAGGAAAAATCAGGCTGAATTTCCTGTGTACTTAGAAAAGCAATGAAGGCCATTTTCTAAGGAGATAACCAATTTGGCAAGAGTCCAGCATAAAAATCTCATCAAGAGTGTGAGGAAGTTAGGGAATAGGTACATGAATAAACCTACATGATGGACACAACTGACAGCATTTTGGATTTCATCCATAAAATTGATATGGAAAAACCACTTATATGTTGGCTTAAGTTTTTTCACCTTGAGCATTGACTTCTAGACTGTATGTTTGAATATTTTTTAAGCAGAGCCATAATGAAGTATAAGCTGTGTATTTATGTGCCCCTGAAATGTTGATATATTATCACGTCATTAATTGAGCAGTTCTTTTGACTTCAGGAGTTTGCAGGAGAGGAAAACACTGGAGATAGTCTGTAGTGTTCATGATTCCGTAGAGCATGGTTGATGGGTGAACACAGGCTCTGGCAGCCAGAGCGCAGCGCTTATATCCCAGCTTCTTCATATCCTAGCTCTGTGCCCTTTAGCAAGTTACACTCTGTGCCTCAGTTTCCTCATCCACGTTGGAACCAAAAAGTACTTATTTGATAAAGTTTAAGAGTTACATGAGAAAAGCCCCTACTACAGTGCCTGCATTATAATAAAATTGTGTTTATTTCCATTGTTAGCTGATGTTAAAATTATTTTGATTATGCCAATAATTGTTACAGTTTGCACTAACAATGAAATAAAATGTTCTAAAAATTGTCAGTGTTTTGCTCTATATGTTGTGTCCCAAACTGACTTGGATAGGCATGAAAAAAACATTATTAATAATACGTATTTTCCTTATTCCTGTAACATTTGCTAACATTTAGTATGTTCTGTAACAGATCCAAATGTAATCATAGGAAATAAGAATTTGGATCTATATATAAGAAAGGAAAAAACTGAATATAGTCCACAAGTCTTCTGCTTGAAATGACATTGATTTGGGCTTTTTTATATTTCATTTGAAAGGGCACATCTGTATCGTGTCAAGACTTGTGCCTTTTCATCACTAGTGCTAGTGACTTATTGCGAGAATTTCTGTGTGTCAACAGCTTCATAGCCCCAGGCTCGTTAGCTTTACGTATCATCGAGAATGAAGATCCAGGACTCTACTTTACTAATGATGTAGCCATAGTAGTTGAAGTATAAACCAGCCCTGACTACTGAGATCTGTGACAGGTCTTGCCTTCAGTGGCCACGGGATGCTTTCCCCCCACTCCTTCCCTTACCTCCCTCTTCCTCTCTCCTTCTCTCTCTTCCTTCCCACTCCTTCCCCTTATGTACCTGTGAGTATTTAGTTTGCACAGGTATGGCTCCAGCTATTTCAAACTCATTGCCATTGTTCCTGTGTCCCATGCTGCCCCTTAGTCCCCTGTCATGATGCAGGCTATTGTCTCTGTCTAAACTGCCTTTACCCTTTTTTTTTCTCACCTGGCTATGACCTGTCACTACTTTAATCTCGGCTTGGGTGTCCTCTTCTATGTGAAGCCTTTCCTCATTTCTACCACCTTCTCATATGTGGTGCGTTTATTCTGGTTTTACGTCCTCTTCTTCCCTGCTAGACCACATCCCTTTTCATGGCCCTCTCCTGTATGGCTGGTTTCTGTCAAATGCCCAGAATACAGTAGGTGCTCAATAGTTTTCCACTGATTAAATCAACAAATGGGTATAATTGCACATGAGGATTTAAAATAACTGGCACAAGTGAAAAGAGCGCAACCTTATTATGTTTAAACAATATATAAAGTATGTCTATTATTTACTTTTAGATGCCATTAGAAATTGTACAACATTTGGCATAGAATCATATCAAAGAGGTATTTATTCTCATTGAAATAGCAGTCAGCAATTACCACCGTAGCTGTTAAAAAGTTTTCAGATCTGATAAACTAAGAAGTATTGACTATCATGAAAGCAAACTTGCTGTATTTTGGGTTTCTATGAAAGTAATAAGAAAACATTGTATGTAAATGAACCTATGACTAAACCCAAATAAATGTAAAACTAATGAAATGCTCTTGCAGCTGTAGAAAATTATTTTTCTCCTGTGTGTTGTATATTTATGGCCCTTAAGCAATCATGTCCTTCCTAGTTTGTTTTCTTTTGCTTATGTCAGTTGATGAACTCTTTTATTTTTTCTCTTGGCATCATAACCTGATACGAATCTCCATAAAGTCGTAAAGATGATGTAGTCATTACTTTACAGAACAAATTCAGTTTCCGAAATCCAGTTTGCATGTTTATACATGGGTGGGTGGATACAGATGTTCTTAACAAATACCTTAATTACTTTCATTAGAACAGGAATTTAGAGGTCATTTGCAAATAAAGTAAAACCCAGAGCTCAAAACAAGGACTCTTATGGTTATAATATTCACAGATGATAATTTATTATGTGCTCAGGTCTGCTCTAAGCACTGTACATGAGTTATGTCCTATGCTGAGGGTGAGTTCTCTCATGATCCCAGGCTATCTGTGAAGGAACTGAGACACAGGTTAAGAAGAGGGCCCTGCTGGGGGTCACGCTTTGGTGGTTTGGCTCTAGAGGCTGGGCCCTTAACCATTACTAGAGTGTCTTTCAGAGTCATTTGCTCTTCTTCTTCCATGCACAGACTGTTTTATACCATTCTGCACATTGTTATGATGACGGATGCATCTTGTGATGTTTGTTTTCTGTGTAGTGAGTATTCATTTCTTGATAAGGAACTTTCATATGTGATATGAATTAAGTAGCATGAAAGTCTTCAGAGTTGCATTCTTTCTATTAAGATTTCATTTTTTCTGCCATTTAAATCCTTGAACAGATGTTGCAATTGGAGCTCCACAGGAAGATGGCTTGAGAGGTGCTATTTATATTTACAACGGCCGAGCAGATGGGGTCTCACCAACGTTCTCACAGGTAGGATACTATTCTGCTTTCAAGAGAAGCATTGATGATAAACGGTTCCTGAAACTTCCAGGGTTAACGTAGAGTTATTTTTCTTAATTTCCTCTTTCAAGTACTTAATGTATTCTATTTCACCCTTTTTCTCATAATAACAGTAGTTGGTCTCATTTTGAAGGTCATTAATAACTCTTTGGAATCACATGTTTTCTCCATAACTAGGAGTTCTGGTTCACATCCATTCTAGTTTGTATTTAATCTAGTGAGGATTTCCTCTGGGGGCTCTTGGGTGGCTCCACCTCTTGATTTCGGTTCAGGTCGTGATTTCTTGGGATTCTCTTCCTACCTCTCTCTCTGCCCCTGCCTCCCTCACACACATGCATGCGTGCTCTCTCTCTTGCTCTCAAAATAAATAAACTGAAAAAAAAAATATTTCCTCGGCATTACATCAAATTTATGTTCTGAGATAGTATCCGTACTCTTTCAGATAAGCCCATGTGGATTTGATTAACTGTGTCTTGCAGTGTGCCTAAAGCCCCATGTTTCAGGGAGGTCGCACAGGGAGAGCAAACACATGATACTCTGATTCTTTCAGGAAGCAGCCGCAAGATGGGAGCTTTTAATAAAGTTCCCTGGTCTAACTCTGACTTGACTTTTGTCTTTCGATAAATCGGGGTATTTCAGTGTATAGGAAACACTCCATACATATGCAGAGAAGAAAAGTTTTTCCAAAGATCTTTTTGTGGAAATATTAGCTAATACTGTTATTCTTGATTGAGCAAAATAGGTAAATGGTTCTCCATATTGAACATGAAACCTCTGTACTTGTCTAGTAAAAACTATTGACTTTCTTAGTATGAATAGTGGCCAGACACGAATAAATCTATCCGGATGTGAAATTAGACATATGGAATAGGAAACACGTGTCTGATGTCAGTTGTCACACGCTAGGAAGCAGTCTGGCCAAATGGGGTGGCTTTCATCATAAGCCTGAGTAGTAGGGAAATAAATACAAAGCCTGAAAGAAGACTGGGGAGAGAGAGAGAGAGTCAGGACTGTTTAAGATCCCTTCTGTATAATTTTCTCTTTGTGACTTTTTCTAGTCAGAAAGTGATTTTTTTCTTGGCAAAAAATAGATGTTATCTGCCCAACTCAAGCTGGCAACTTTCATTTCTTTTAGATGCAAGTATTTGACTTAAATGCATTTTGTTACTAAATGTGCCTAGGTGTTGTAAGGCTCATGATTTAACTAGATCGTTGCTGCTTTGAGATATTCTTTGAGATATTTGAGTGTTAAAAAACTGCTTCCTACTTACCGATTTTTCAGAGAATTGAAGGACTTCAAATCAGCCAATCATTAAGTATGTTTGGACAGTCTATATCTGGACAAATTGATGCAGATAATAATGGATATGTAGGTGAGTATTAAATTGACTATTTCACAAATTGAAATGAGCTCTATTGGGGTGTTGCCTTATTACAAAGTACATAGAACTGGTATGGAAAAGTCCTAATTTACTGGTAATTTGTTTCTTTCCTTTTTAAAGCTTTTTTGAATGCAAGGATGGGTCAGAAATGATCAAATAATTAGTCAGTTGTACCGTGTTAGTTACTTGACATTTTATTCCTTGTTCTTGAAAAAATGAAAGGCACCCATGAAAATCAAACATGAGGTGCTGGAAAAAAAGACACTTTTTTGTACCTTGAGAGGAGATTCCTGGGTGACTATGTGTAGTCTAAACGTTGAATTTTTTAGTAAACTTTATAAGTTTTTATCATAAAGTTTGTTTACATTATAAAGGGATGAATGTTATTACAGATGAATAGACTCAGATAAATGTGGAACGAATCCTAAGATGTTAAGTATATCTTTTGTAATTAATTTTCTGTAAATAGTGTTTTGATACAGTCATAAGGTGATACATAGGTATTTGTGGCTGGAAAGCAATTCTCTTTGACTAATGATGTTCATTAATCTGTTGTTTTTAATCCTCCAGATGTGGCAGTTGGTGCTTTTCGGTCTGATTCTGCTGTGCTGCTGAGGTAAGGTTGATGCATTTCACTGCTTAATGACAATTGGGCTTAATTGTAAATGATGGGAGGCAGTTTTTAAAATTGGCAGTTGTGGTGACCTCATAATGCTTTTTTCTTGGTATTATGAAATTTTATTGAACTTTAGGATTGTATTTCCATCTTACGTGGCTATTATAATTAAATCCTCAGGCAAAGCCAGTATTTTTAGAAACTCAAATGAAAATTTCTCTTGATTCATTCACAGAAATGTAATTGAGTATATATGCACTTTCTACTAATAAGGCAGTTTCATGAAGTTACTTGGTCAATGGAAACTGAAAAAACAAATCCAATTTTTTCTAAAGGAAAAGTAATATTGCTAATTTTATTTCCTTCTTAGGACAAGACCCGTAGTGATTGTTGAAGCTTCTTTAAAACATCCTGAGTCAGTAAATAGAACAAATTTTGACTGTGTTGAAAATGGATTGCCTTCTGTGTGCATGGATCTAACACTCTGTTTCTCATACAAGGGCAAAGAGGTTCCAGGTTATATTGGTAAGGATGGCCTTACAGAATTTACCCTGAGTGTGTACTTCACTCATTAATCTCATGGTCGTCTTCTGAGCCCTGACATTGTTTCACCTTAGAGGTGAATACTCCTTTCTGCCTCATCTTTTGGATTCTCAAGTTACTCTAACCAATGAGTGGGCAACAGTAAGAGGCTGTATATAGTTTTCTGAAAATTATGGCAAGAAGTAAATCAGGAGTATCACCTTGCTGTATTGGGGTGAGCTAAACTGAGCTTAATATATGAAATATCTTCAGAATAGAAAGAACATTACCACAGCTGCTTCTTTGTTTAACTGGGCTCCTTTCACAGCTGGAGCTGGCTTAAATTGGAAGTCCTGAGAGGGAGATTGTTCTCTTTATATTTTGTCTTTTGAGTGAGTGAAGAAGCTTATCTCAAACCTAGACGTTGATTTCAATTTCCATAAATAACACACATCTCTTGAGGATTTCCTATGACTGTCAGCTTCTGAGACCCATGTCCATTCCCTTTATATAGGTAGCTCTCAGTTGCCCGCTCTGGAGAAGAGAGTATTGATAGGGCTCATGCAAAATTGTGGTTAATCTCAAATCACATATATGTGACTTTATACACATTAAATTTTTTCTAGCAGGTTATGTTCCTAATTATGTTATACTCAAGCTAGTATTAGAATAACTGCTAGTGAAACTAGCCAATGGTAGGAGAGTGGCATACTTGGGTTTATTATTTGGACATTAAAATTAGATAAACTTCATGAGCCACCCAGGACCTATCCAGAGTTGATTGTATTCATGACCCTGCAGACTCTCATCATCTAAACATCACAAAGGGCAGCAAATACATCGAATCAAACTATGGATATGTAACAGAAATCTCCTTCTGAATCAGCCTACAATGAGAGGTATAGAATGAGCGTAGTGTATCTACTTTAGAACAGACTCACTTTTCATTGTGCACTGCAAAAGTCCTGGCTAGGCATACAGTAGTAGGAAAGTGGGCAAAACTTTAACCTGGTTACAAGAAGTGGCATTTTCAGGGCATGACCCCAGTAACACAGACAAATTGATGGATTAGCTGAAAGACAGACGTTGAACTGATACGACTATCTCCCTTTATGTAAAATCCGTGTTTGTTGTACTACCGATTCCATTGTGACCAGATATTTTTAAAAATGGTTGAAAACAAATGTATGACACTCGTAAATAATCACAGCGCTGTTACAAAAGCAAGCTTTAGAGTTGCATAGAATGAGTCCTTGGGAGAAATAATTCACATGGTAAGCATTTTTCATAAAAGCCGATGTTTTGCCACTTACTGTGAATGGATTTTTATTCACCCTTTTTTCCTTTACTTTTTGCCTGAACTCCTGGTGATGAATTGTGGATGGCTGTTTCAATTACTCTTTCATCTCTGAGACACTGAATCTCCGCTATTGTAATTTTGAAGCCAATTGATTGGGACTTCATTGTTTATTTTATAAATAAAAGTCAGGTTAAAAGATTTATTTGAAACTTGTAGGAGTAATACAGGTTTTATCCTTATGTTGCCTTGAAAAAAGTAGATAAAATCGCTCCGAAAGACTAAGTTACTCCCAAGATGTAAATGAAAACTTCAGGAATTATATAAATTCTTTAAAATATCACTTATGAATTTATTGCTCCTATATAATGAGCGATATCTCAGCAGACTGTTAATGTAGCTTGTTTTGCAAAGAATTCTTTTAGATTAAAAAAATTGCTCTTTCTTTGTAATACCTGTCTTGGAATTTTTTTGGATACTTATTAGATTTCCTTACATTTTTGCTTATCGAGGACATTCTTCAGCAGATGATTGTCTACTATGTGATATTTGAAGTAAATATTACTAAACTGCCAGAATATTTATTCAGAAGATGTCTATATTTGGCACAAACCAGCACTGGAAGGTCAAACTGGAAACCAATAAAAACATGGAGGAGACTAATCAGGGTCTAGGGCTGGAAAAGGAGACGCCTTTGGGTGAACTGTTTATATAGGTTTGACTTTTGAACAATTTGTTCACTTTTCATTTTGAAAAATAATAAAAATCAATCACCTCTCAAGTCAGAAACAACAATGAACCCCACCGTGTATAATTAGTGATATGTGATACGTGAGTGCAGTATTCTGTCTGTGGCTCTTTAGTTGGACATTCTAAGAACAGAAGGATTCCAAAGAAATATGAAACTTAGAACTTTTATGAGTAGTTACAATTTTAGTATTGTAGTTTTGAAACATATATAGGAAGATTAAGTAAATACCTGAAGATGGTAACAGTTAAAACTAGAAACCTAGAGAAAAGCTGATTGATATTTTATAACAATTTTTTCAACTTGTGTTTTCAATATGTGTCGTCTTCCAGATTTCAGGTTAGTTTTGAAAAGCCACTGAAATAAGAAAATACTGGATATCATTTTGACTATTTTCATTTCAAAAATAATAAATGCTTTTAGGTACTTATTTGCATGAACTGCAATTCTCTCTACATTTTTGCAGTTTTGTTCTATAACATGAGTCTGGATGTGAACCGGAAGATAGAATCTCCATCAAGATTTTACTTTTCTTCTAATGGAACATCTGATGTGATTACAAGCAGCATGAAAGTGTCAAGCAAAGTAGCTAACTGCAGAACACATCAAGCATTTATGCGGGTAATGTAGACTAGTTTTTTATCAATGAATGTGTAAACTCCAGTATTACCACTACAGTGAAAATCTTACTGCATTGGTATCTTTTTATAAAATGTGGTTTAAAAGCAGATGTGATTCCCTCCTGAACTAGCTGGCCTATTGTTACAGGGTTAAGATGTTCGGCAATCCTGTGATGTGGCTAATGCAGAGTCCTCATTTTGCATCTTCTTTATTTCACGTTTATCACGTTTTTACTGTGTCATTCTTTCTAAAGATTTGCCTTTTCCTTTCTACAATTGCTATTTTCCTATCCCTGTTTTATATGCTTCCCTAGAAATGTACATATTGAGTAGCTCTGCTGAGCCTGAGATCTGTTTCCAGGTAGGTTTTTCTTGACAGGGGTGTGGTAGGGAAGGGTAGGGTGGGGGCAGGGAAGTTGGTTTGTTTTTCCTGTGACTCTAATGAAGCAGAAGCCATCGTGACTGTGTTTGGATCAGGTCTTTGTCCCCATGCCAGCATTGTTAGTGATGTCAGTGGGAACTCGCACAGTTGCAGCATGGTAGGGATCATCTGTGGGCCAGGACAATGACTCTCAAGATGTTTGGGGGTATGTCCTGCCAAAGCACAGCCAGTTTCATGTTTCTTTTATTAAAATACTCATTCCCAAACTGACCATCACGTTCCTTGCATTGGTCAAATTTTATCCTATGGAGCAGTGCCAGGTCGTTTTCATTAGGGAATGGTGTACTTCATCAGAAAATCTACGGCCACAAAGAAGCCAAACTATTCCCAGGAGCCCCTTCTGGGATTGCAAATAGTAGCCTCCGCTTAGAACTTAATTTTCCCTTGGATACTTATTCCAAGCAAATGCAAACAAGCATCAAGGTTCTAACACTATTAAATGCTAAGAGCAATAATCCCTATGCTATTTCCTCATTTCCCTTAACACTTTTTATTGTACTAGAATAAAGCTATGAGATGGTTGAGAACCAAAAACATAGAATGATACTAATGTAACCATCATTTATATGTTAGGCATGAAAGAAGGATTTTTTAATACTATATAGTTGAGATTGTACTTAGTCTCCAAAATTGACTCACCTATCATTGAGACCATTTTCAAGGCAGTAAAAGGGCTGACATTAGACATTTGCAAAGAAACATTGTGTTGAATTTATATGACAGGAAATTGATCTGACTTACTTAGTTACTCCTGTGTTTCTTGGCATTGTTCCAACAAGTAAGAGTTCATCAAAAATTGTGTATTTTCGTTGGGATACATTTGTAGTAGAAATGACAATTTAGCAGAGGTTTCTTGACACACATTTGTAATGTTACCCTGGTGTTGATGGTAGCAGGTTAACAGCGATTGACTTTTGGCCATATTGTCAATGTCAAACAAAAGCATTTACCTCTGGGATTGGTACACAGTAGGGACTTTTTAAAAAGTGATTGAAACCATTATTAAAATTAAAACAGGTCTAGTTGTTATTCAGGAAGGTATGGGAAGATAATGAGTGCATTGTCCATTCCCACCAGCCTGGTAACTGGAGGTATTTCACCATGCTAATACTACTGTGCTTCTAGAGTCCAAAAGAACCTGATACTCTTTTTTTTTTTTTTTAATTTTTAGAAGATGTATATTTATTTTGAGAGGGTGAGAGAGAGAGAGAGAGTTGGAGAGGGGCACAAAGAGAGGGAGAGAGAGAATTCCAAGCAGGCTCCACACTGTCAACAGAGAGCCTGTTGTGGAGCTCGATTTCATGACTCTAGAATCATGACTTGACCTGAAATCAAGAGTCAGACAATTAACTGATTGAGTGACCCAGGCACCCCCAAAACTGATATTATTCTGCCTTCTTAATGATAGTAAAAAAAGAAGAGCAGTGGTCAGGACGCTTGGATTGTCTGTCCCTTTGTTCCATAAAACTTGTCCAGTATCAGGAATATTAATGGTCATATTCTACTTCAACGTCACTTACAATGAAGTGAGGTACACTTGTTAATTATGTGGCCTGGCCCACAGCCTCCACTTCTCACAGGACTCTCTGTCTGCCAGTTGGGCACACTTTCCTCCTATGGTTCTTGGCATTGGTCATACCAGATAAGTTCCACTTAATTGAGTAGGTATTTGAGTACCAACATTCTGTTTGAGACACTTGTATATATCAATGAATGAAATATAAAGAGATTACTGCCCTCACCGTGTTCATAGTCTAGTGGAGTGAGGTAAACAACATGATAAAAATGTAAATTTTAGACTATTTTATAAGATAAACATGATCAAAAAAGAAAGGGGCAGGGGCGCCTGGGGGGCTTGGTCAGTTAAGCGTCGGACTTCGGCTCAGGTCACAGTCTCACAGCTTGTAGGTTTAAGTACCACATCAGGCTCTTTCCTGACAGCTCGGAGCCTGGATCCTGCTTCGAATTCTGTCTCCCTCTCTCTCTGCCCCTCCGTCCTTCCCTCCCTCCACCTGTCTGTCTCTCTGTCTCTCTCTTTCTTTCTCTCTTTTTCTCTCTCAAAAATAAATAAACATTTAAAAATTTAAAAAGGGCAGAGTACAGGAAACTCTGGAGTGCTGGAGAAAAAATGAAGGGTGCATTTTATTTTATTTTTTTAAGTATAATTTACACACAGTGTTAGTTTTAAATGTTTTATATAATGATTCAATCATTCTGTGCATTAGTGATGATCACAAGTGTCCTGTTTTTAAAATTTTAACTCCAGGGTCGTTAACATGCAGTGTTTCACTAGTTGCAGCTGTACAATGTAGTGATTCAACGGTTCCATATGTTACTCAGTGCCCATCAGGATAAGGGTACACTTAATCCCATTTATCTGGTTCACCCATGTCCCCAACCTCTCTCCCACTGTTCTCTATACTTCAGAGTCTGTTTTTACCTCTTTTTTTCTTTGTTTTGTTTCTTAAATTCCACAAATTAGTTGAAATCATATGGTATTGGTCTTCCTCTGACTTACTTTATTGAACATCCTACCCTCTAGGTCCATCCATGTTGTTGCAAATGGCAAGAATGCATTCATTTTTATGGCTAATATTCCTGTGTGTGTGTGTGTGTGTGTGTGTGTGTGTGTGTGTGTGTATACACATGCTACATCTTTATGCATTCGTCTATCAGTGGACACTTGGCTTGCTTCTATGTCTTGGCTATTGTAAATAAGGTTACACTAATCATATGGGTGCCTATTTTTTTTGAATTAGTGTTTTCATTGTCTTTTGGTAGATATCCAGTAATGGGATACCTGGATCATATGGTAATTCTATTTTTAATTTTTTGAGGAACCTCAATACTGTTTTCTAATAGGCTGCATTAGTTTGCATTCCCACCAGAAGTCCCAAGGGTTCCTTTTTTCTCTACATCCTCACCAACTCTTGTTTTTGTCACCATTGTGACAGGCTTGAGGTGACATCTCATTGTGGTTTTGATTTGTATTTCCCTGGGGATGAGTGATGTTGAACCTAGTTTGTTCTTTCTCAAGATTACTTTGGCTGTTTGGGGTCTATTGTGGTCCCATACAAATTTTAGGTTTATTCTAGTTCTGTGAAAAATGCTTTTGGCACTTTTATAGGGATTGTATTGAATCTAGATTGCTCATGTGTCTGTTGGCCATTTGTATGTCTTCTTGGGAAAAATGCCTATCCAGTTCCTCTGCCTGTTATTTAATTGGATTTTTAAAATTTTTGGTGTTGAGTCGCTTAAGTTCCTTATGTAGTCTGTATATTAACCCCTTATTGGGTATATCATTTGCAAATAGCTTCTCTCAGTAGGTTTTTTTTGTTTGTTGATTGTTTCTTTTGCTGTGCAAAAGCTTTTTATTTTGGTGTAGTCCCAGTAGTTTATTTTTGCTTTTATTTCTCTTGTCTCAGGAGACAGGTCTAGAAAAATGTAGCTACAGCTAGTTTCAAACACATTACTACTTATATTTTCTTCTAGTTTTATGGTTTCAAGTCTTTCATTTAAATGTTTAATTCATTTTGAGTTTATTTTTGTGCATGATGTGAGAAAGTAGTCCAGTTTCATTTTTTTGGCATGTAGCTATTCAGTTTTCTCAGTACTATTTGTCGAAGAGACTGTCTTTTCCCTATTGTATATTCTTGTGGGTTTATTTCTGGGTGCTCTACTCTGTTCCATTGATCTATGTGTCTATTTTTATGCTAGTACCATACTGTTTTGATTGCTACAGCTTTGTAATATAACCTGAAATCTGGAATTGTGATACCTCCTAGTTTGTTCTTTCTCAAGATTACTTTGGGTGTTTGGGGTCTATTGTGGTCCCATACAAATTTTAGGTTTATTCTAGTTCTGTGAAAAATGCTTTTGGCATTTTTATAGGGATTGTATTGAATCTAGATTGCTCTGGGTAGTATGAACATTTTTTTTTATTGGTTTCAGGAGTAAAATTTAGTGACTTATCACATACATATAACACCCAGTGCTCATCACAAGTGCCCTCCTTAATGCTCATCACCCATTTATCCTATCCCCTCCCCACCTCCCCTCCAGCAAACCTCAGGTTGTTCTCTGTATTTAAGAGTCTTTTATGGTTTGACTCCTTGTTTTCATCTTCTTTTATTTTTCCTTCCCTTCCCCTATGTTCATCTGTTTTGTTTCTAAAATTCCACATGAGTGAAATTATTTGATACTTGTCTTTCTCTGACTTATTTCACTTCGCTTAGCATAACACACTCTACTTCCATTCATGTTGCTGCAAATGGCAATTTCCTTCTTCCTTCCTTCCTTCCTTCCTGATGGCCAGTTAATATTCCATTGGGTGTGTGTGTGTGCACATCTTTTTTATCCATTCATTAGTCGATGGACATTTGGTCTCTTTCTATAGTTTGGCTAATGTTGATAGCACTGCTGTAAACATTGGGGTGCATGTGCCCCTTCAAATGAGCATTTTTGTATCCTTTGGATAAATTCCTAATATTGCAATTGCTGGGTTGTAGGTAGTTCTATTGTTAACTTTTTGAGGAACCTCCATACTGTTTTCCAGGGTG